GCATAGTCACCTCACCTTCCATGTTGCTAATCCTCTTAAGCTTATACCGCGACTATTCACTGCTTTCAAAAAGTACGATGATCAAATAAAAGCGACTTGAATTTGCCTCTACCTGTGGAATTGATGACGATGGAGGAAAAAATCTACTTATCAACAATAACATCATAGGGCATATTACTGGATTTCGCAGTAAAATACTTTTCATATCGAAAGAAAATGACCAACCTAATGCCCTTTAAAACAGTCTTTTAGCCTACCGTAGTCGTCTCAGGCTCCATGAGCCTCGTTGATAAGGCGTTAATGCACTGGCAGCCATCTGTGAGGCTGATGATACCGACAACGACGGAGATGAGGAAGAGAATGTAGAGGACGGGGGAGTGCCGTGTAAAGACCTTCGTATCGATTGTGCAGCAATTCCTCGTGTTGGTGGTGACCTTCTCTGATGGCGCTGATGCCGTCGATAGCATGAAACAAGAGATTCTACCGTCAATGACGACGATGATGATGGCGAGGAGGAAGATGATACATCCAACCGATATCTAGGCGATGCGTAGGCTGCAGGAAGTCTTCGCCTTTGTGACTGGAATTCACGAATGTACATTATGAATCAAAATGCTATCTGAAGATATCAATTGTTGCCTCGACTGATTTGAATAAAAACTTATCCCTTTTCCATCAGAAGATCACCGGGTATATATTGGTTATAAAACAGTGTTTAATAGTTAGACTTTTAAAGCCTTTATTTAGCGTTGGTGCGCAGGACAGATAAATTACCAACCAAATTCTTGGGAAAAAATAAGTAGTTAGGACTCCAAAACGCTTTGCTGCTTTCAGAAGATCTGAATTTTTGAGGTCAAGAGAAAAAAATAATATACTGTTGTTTATTGCCGTCTCTCATGTTCTCGTGCGTCGCTTATCCATAATAGCTAGCGAGACGAAGCACTGAAAATGATCGCTCATGCAGCTACATTTGGGCTCAGAGCTAATGCGTGATATTTCCTGTAACTCAAAAAGTAATTATTCGAATACTCGCAAGCCGTTGACATAAGTGAACAAATCTAATCATTGATAACACAAGTTAGCAGTCGGTCCTGTTGTTTTCTGTCACTCTATATCAAAAACACAAATGGCAAAATGTGCTAGGAAAAAAGCAGTTACCATGAAACGAATGTAGGACAAAGAAGAAACAAAATTGCAACGCACACTAGAGGCGAGAGACTCGTCTAAGAAATTAATAAAAAACATCAAAAAGAGAACGAAAGGCAAAAGCGCTCACATTGTCAAGTAAGGTGTTCGTGGCAACAGCTCTGAAAGAGGAAGTGGTGGAGGAAGAGGAGGAAGGGGAGGAGGATGAGAAGGTGCCTTTTCGTCGTCGACGAGCCTTGTAGACCGATACTGAAGGTGACGGTGAAGCGGAAGACGGCTGTCTACGCTTCAAGCTAGACGGAATCACTCCGTGTCGATGCTGTTGGCAATGAGAGTGATAGTGCCGGTTGCGGTGGTGCGATCTTGTAGCACCAGGAGGGTTTTCTCGGCTTCCGCCACCACCACCACTGTCGTCGCCACCACTGCTGATAGCCTCGTAGCGTGTTAAAAGGTGCGAAGAGGTGGGAGTTTTACGGGGCTTTCTGAACCAAAAAATTGTCCCTGGATTATGTTGAATGAAAAATATTTTTCCAGAGAAGCTTGAATAAGAGTTGCTGGAAACAGAATGATATGTGACTGAGAGTCTTTTCAGTCTCCCAGACTCCCTGTGTTTTTAATGATGGAGCTACTTTAGGAGTAACACGGGTGGTACAGTTCACTAAATCAAATTTAGCTGCTTGAATAGCCTCACAATGGATAAATACCCGGTAACGTAATTACTAGTACATTCGAATCACAGCCCGGTCTACAGCTTCAGAAATTTAATAAGCAGTACACTCTATTAAACGGTGACTATTTCTTCTCGTGTTGCAATGTAGCCAAGTGGTTAGGAGAATGCCTCCGGTGCAACTACAAATTCTAGTAGATTTGAAAATGCCATTAAGAAGTGGTAACATCGAGTATCGGCCGAAAATGACGTGTCATAACAAGCAAAGGAGATACAAAGGTGAAGAACCACTTAAACACCTCAAAGTTGATCCTGAGGATTCGAACTACGCATCTAAAAAGCAGCACTAAATGCGAAATCGGCGTTCAGTCAAAGTGAATGGATAATAAGAATAAAGCAAATATCGCGATTTAGCCTATTCGAGCTAAAATTATCTGACAACTCGTGTAGCGATGGCATGCGGAGTGGATGGTGCATCGGGGTTTAAGCCGACGCCTCCACCAAAAAGGAAATAGTAACGTTAAGTTCCGGTTTTTAAAGTTATGAGAAGAAAAGGATTAGTTATTTGGGTTCAGATTCCTCAATAAAAGTGGACAAAATTATCTAGGCTCCTGATAGGCCGGTCGAGATTTGAACCATCGGAGAGATGGCATGATTTTGAATCTTTGCGACCGACAGCAAAGCTTTCTCGATACACCAATGCCGACGAATCAGATCGACGATAAAATAATGGGATGGGATGGAATGACTAATCGGTCGCAGTGCAAATGTCAAGTCGCTAGTGTCAAAGCTTAGAGTTAGCCCACTCGGGAGAAGTCATATTACACAAATGGTGTGTAATGCGGGCGTACGTTTATGCGTGGAGGCTAAGGGACGAATCATCCTCGGGTTGCAGAAGGGCAGAGAGGGAATGAGAAGGCGTAGTGTGCGTTTGCCGACTTGTCAAGTATTGCGCATTTCTACATGTAAAAAAGACTCGCCCCTTAATGAGAGCATGAAAGAAGATCACGCTAGCGATCCTGTCTCACCATTGTTGAGTCTGAGTCAATTCCATCCTCTTGAGGAGCATCACGATGACTGAATAGTTTTTACAACTACATGGAGACTGAGAGCGAGTTTTGATCGAGCACATTACCTATGTGAAAGGAAATGGAAGCAGAAAAAAACCTAAAGACCATGGCTTACTAAAACCGCAAGAAACACTGACCAACCGACCGCAGGATAGTGGGTCAAATGCTCTGTTCAAATAAAGTATAAGTGAGAACGAGTGGTGAAATTGGCTTTAAGCCAGTTTAGAAATTATGAAAAACAAAAATACCTGGAATTTTGGAGGAAGTGCATCGCTCATATCGTAAACAAACGTAATGGGTGCCATGTGAACACTGTCCCAACAAAATTAAGTAAAACTAAAAGTTGGAACTATAGAACGGAGCCTCGGTGCAAGTTGTAAAATTTAAAAGCCGTAAAATTTACGACAGTTAATCAAAATAAATCAAACACTTAGTCGCGTTTTGGGTGAATAGAGAATTTTGAAAGTATAATCAAAAAAACATCTACGTATATGTGCAATGCTCTAATTGCTTGCTCAACTCCCGATTTTGTAAACGCACCACTTAGGATCTCCACCATTGTATCTCCTCCGGGACATGCCAGTAGGTCCCAGACTTCTGTACATCGACAAGAAATATTCTGTACTAGTATAACGCCTCCTTTCGCTATGAGGCGAGTCTCGGGGCGCTACACTGGTAGCAGTGAAAAGCAAACCCAGTCCCAAAGGGCAACCATCCTGATTTCTACGGCTAGGTGATAAACCTTAGCTGGGCGGAAGAAGGGTATATACTGCGAATGGGAGAATTGGTAACGACCCCTAACCGAAAGTCTCAGAATAACGCCAACCTTCAGCAACTACCCCAGTCCCGCAATTTGCAGGAAAGCTATCAGCAACTGAAGCGGTACTAGCCGTGGCCGTAAACCATCTTGAAAAGTTTGTTACGGAGTTGTCTACAGCGCCTGTATGTAGATGTCAAGTATGTGAATACGCTATACCCCCTCCACTTCTCTCCTGGCTGGCTGGAACCTATAGAGATTTAGCTGAACAGCACCGAAGCGAGAACAAAGCGGTAAGGAGGAATAGATTCGAAATCCTACCCTCACGGGACTACGTTAAATCCAATCTTTTGTTATGTGACCCTGCTTTTGAGCCAATGTTCCTTCGACTAGCGATGGACAAGCGTGATGACCATCACAATCGACCAGAGGAAACTCCATATCTAGTAGAATTGCCGAGGGATTAGTAACGTTGCGGTTAACTATCCTCTCAGTTGTATGGAACTTCGATGACTGGAGTGGTCGGTTCGTGGGTGTTTTTTGACACCACCAATTACGTTTTGATGGCTGAAGGGAGAGGTTGACCAAGGGTAGCACTGGAGACGGTGCTCAAAAGGGTAGACAGGCTATGTAATACGTCAACAGCTTAACTCTCAGTTTTATTAACGGGTCATTCAAAAGCTCCGTCGGCTGGTCTAGCCTTTGGACCGCGTCAATGGCCCCAATCCCCTCTGTCAGTTGACAATCCATATTCTGCCCAATTATGTTTTCTTTCGTTTTCAGGGAAGTTTCGGGGAGCTACAGTAACCTATCATTTATATAATAAAGTTAGAGAAGATGAAACACCGCAAGTAATGAAATTAAAAGATTTGTCAGTTGATTAGAATAAGAAAAATTGAAGGGAATGTTTAGGGTAATCGCAACAGCAAACCCAGTATAAAAAACGTCGGCTCATCAAGGGATTATGTCTTACGAGAACAAAGCGACGGGCATCTCATTTATTTCGGTACAAAGAGCCTGACTCGAGTTCGAAAGGATGAGATACAACCGCAACTTTGGCAAAAGCACGGGATATATCAAAGGCGAGAATTATCTCATCATGTCCAGTTGCAGTGGCTTTGGATATGTGCAAACGCACGAAATGTCGGCGTGCCTCACGGTATGCAGTGGCAGATGACGCCACTGGCTGCGGAGAGCGACTATGACTACGATGACAATTAGTGACTTGGATGGCTGGTTCACCAGGTCATATAAGCACAACTATTACAAATAACTATTTCTGGCACTTTACCTTAAATAATGCAAAGTGATACTGCAAGCTCTTCGCTAAGCAAACAAAATTACTCCAGAAGGAAAATAGGAGAACATAAGCTAAAAATTAAGAATTTACTGGTTTCGATTGGAGGAAAAAATCTACTTATCAACAATAACATCATAGGGCATATTACTGGATTTCGCAGTAAAATACTTTTCATATCGAAAGAAAATGACCAACCTAATGCCCTTTAAAACAGTCTTTTAGCCTACCGTAGTCGTCTCAGGCTCCATGAGCCTCGTTGATAAGGCGTTAATGCACTGGCAGCCATCTGTGAGGCTGATGATACCGACAACGACGGAGATGAGGAAGAGAATGTAGAGGACGGGGGAGTGCCGTGTAAAGACCTTCGTATCGATTGTGCAGCAATTCCTCGTGTTGGTGGTGACCTTCTCTGATGGCGCTGATGCCGTCGATAGCATGAAACAAGAGATTCTACCGTCAATGACGACGATGATGATGGCGAGGAGGAAGATGATACATCCAACCGATATCTAGGCGATGCGTAGGCTGCAGGAAGTCTTCGCCTTTGTGACTGGAATTCACGAATGTACATTATGAATCAAAATGCTATCTGAAGATATCAATTGTTGCCTCGACTGATTTGAATAAAAACTTATCCCTTTTCCATCAGAAGATCACCGGGTATATATTGGTTATAAAACAGTGTTTAATAGTTAGACTTTTAAAGCCTTTATTTAGCGTTGGTGCGCAGGACAGATAAATTACCAACCAAATTCTTGGGAAAAAATAAGTAGTTAGGACTCCAAAACGCTTTGCTGCTTTCAGAAGATCTGAATTTTTGAGGTCAAGAGAAAAAAATAATATACTGTTGTTTATTGCCGTCTCTCATGTTCTCGTGCGTCGCTTATCCATAATAGCTAGCGAGACGAAGCACTGAAAATGATCGCTCATGCAGCTACATTTGGGCTCAGAGCTAATGCGTGATATTTCCTGTAACTCAAAAAGTAATTATTCGAATACTCGCAAGCCGTTGACATAAGTGAACAAATCTAATCATTGATAACACAAGTTAGCAGTCGGTCCTGTTGTTTTCTGTCACTCTATATCAAAAACACAAATGGCAAAATGTGCTAGGAAAAAAGCAGTTACCATGAAACGAATGTAGGACAAAGAAGAAACAAAATTGCAACGCACACTAGAGGCGAGAGACTCGTCTAAGAAATTAATAAAAAACATCAAAAAGAGAACGAAAGGCAAAAGCGCTCACATTGTCAAGTAAGGTGTTCGTGGCAACAGCTCTGAAAGAGGAAGTGGTGGAGGAAGAGGAGGAAGGGGAGGAGGATGAGAAGGTGCCTTTTCGTCGTCGACGAGCCTTGTAGACCGATACTGAAGGTGACGGTGAAGCGGAAGACGGCTGTCTACGCTTCAAGCTAGACGGAATCACTCCGTGTCGATGCTGTTGGCAATGAGAGTGATAGTGCCGGTTGCGGTGGTGCGATCTTGTAGCACCAGGAGGGTTTTCTCGGCTTCCGCCACCACCACCACTGTCGTCGCCACCACTGCTGATAGCCTCGTAGCGTGTTAAAAGGTGCGAAGAGGTGGGAGTTTTACGGGGCTTTCTGAACCAAAAAATTGTCCCTGGATTATGTTGAATGAAAAATATTTTTCCAGAGAAGCTTGAATAAGAGTTGCTGGAAACAGAATGATATGTGACTGAGAGTCTTTTCAGTCTCCCAGACTCCCTGTGTTTTTAATGATGGAGCTACTTTAGGAGTAACACGGGTGGTACAGTTCACTAAATCAAATTTAGCTGCTTGAATAGCCTCACAATGGATAAATACCCGGTAACGTAATTACTAGTACATTCGAATCACAGCCCGGTCTACAGCTTCAGAAATTTAATAAGCAGTACACTCTATTAAACGGTGACTATTTCTTCTCGTGTTGCAATGTAGCCAAGTGGTTAGGAGAATGCCTCCGGTGCAACTACAAATTCTAGTAGATTTGAAAATGCCATTAAGAAGTGGTAACATCGAGTATCGGCCGAAAATGACGTGTCATAACAAGCAAAGGAGATACAAAGGTGAAGAACCACTTAAACACCTCAAAGTTGATCCTGAGGATTCGAACTACGCATCTAAAAAGCAGCACTAAATGCGAAATCGGCGTTCAGTCAAAGTGAATGGATAATAAGAATAAAGCAAATATCGCGATTTAGCCTATTCGAGCTAAAATTATCTGACAACTCGTGTAGCGATGGCATGCGGAGTGGATGGTGCATCGGGGTTTAAGCCGACGCCTCCACCAAAAAGGAAATAGTAACGTTAAGTTCCGGTTTTTAAAGTTATGAGAAGAAAAGGATTAGTTATTTGGGTTCAGATTCCTCAATAAAAGTGGACAAAATTATCTAGGCTCCTGATAGGCCGGTCGAGATTTGAACCATCGGAGAGATGGCATGATTTTGAATCTTTGCGACCGACAGCAAAGCTTTCTCGATACACCAATGCCGACGAATCAGATCGACGATAAAATAATGGGATGGGATGGAATGACTAATCGGTCGCAGTGCAAATGTCAAGTCGCTAGTGTCAAAGCTTAGAGTTAGCCCACTCGGGAGAAGTCATATTACACAAATGGTGTGTAATGCGGGCGTACGTTTATGCGTGGAGGCTAAGGGACGAATCATCCTCGGGTTGCAGAAGGGCAGAGAGGGAATGAGAAGGCGTAGTGTGCGTTTGCCGACTTGTCAAGTATTGCGCATTTCTACATGTAAAAAAGACTCGCCCCTTAATGAGAGCATGAAAGAAGATCACGCTAGCGATCCTGTCTCACCATTGTTGAGTCTGAGTCAATTCCATCCTCTTGAGGAGCATCACGATGACTGAATAGTTTTTACAACTACATGGAGACTGAGAGCGAGTTTTGATCGAGCACATTACCTATGTGAAAGGAAATGGAAGCAGAAAAAAACCTAAAGACCATGGCTTACTAAAACCGCAAGAAACACTGACCAACCGACCGCAGGATAGTGGGTCAAATGCTCTGTTCAAATAAAGTATAAGTGAGAACGAGTGGTGAAATTGGCTTTAAGCCAGTTTAGAAATTATGAAAAACAAAAATACCTGGAATTTTGGAGGAAGTGCATCGCTCATATCGTAAACAAACGTAATGGGTGCCATGTGAACACTGTCCCAACAAAATTAAGTAAAACTAAAAGTTGGAACTATAGAACGGAGCCTCGGTGCAAGTTGTAAAATTTAAAAGCCGTAAAATTTACGACAGTTAATCAAAATAAATCAAACACTTAGTCGCGTTTTGGGTGAATAGAGAATTTTGAAAGTATAATCAAAAAAACATCTACGTATATGTGCAATGCTCTAATTGCTTGCTCAACTCCCGATTTTGTAAACGCACCACTTAGGATCTCCACCATTGTATCTCCTCCGGGACATGCCAGTAGGTCCCAGACTTCTGTACATCGACAAGAAATATTCTGTACTAGTATAACGCCTCCTTTCGCTATGAGGCGAGTCTCGGGGCGCTACACTGGTAGCAGTGAAAAGCAAACCCAGTCCCAAAGGGCAACCATCCTGATTTCTACGGCTAGGTGATAAACCTTAGCTGGGCGGAAGAAGGGTATATACTGCGAATGGGAGAATTGGTAACGACCCCTAACCGAAAGTCTCAGAATAACGCCAACCTTCAGCAACTACCCCAGTCCCGCAATTTGCAGGAAAGCTATCAGCAACTGAAGCGGTACTAGCCGTGGCCGTAAACCATCTTGAAAAGTTTGTTACGGAGTTGTCTACAGCGCCTGTATGTAGATGTCAAGTATGTGAATACGCTATACCCCCTCCACTTCTCTCCTGGCTGGCTGGAACCTATAGAGATTTAGCTGAACAGCACCGAAGCGAGAACAAAGCGGTAAGGAGGAATAGATTCGAAATCCTACCCTCACGGGACTACGTTAAATCCAATCTTTTGTTATGTGACCCTGCTTTTGAGCCAATGTTCCTTCGACTAGCGATGGACAAGCGTGATGACCATCACAATCGACCAGAGGAAACTCCATATCTAGTAGAATTGCCGAGGGATTAGTAACGTTGCGGTTAACTATCCTCTCAGTTGTATGGAACTTCGATGACTGGAGTGGTCGGTTCGTGGGTGTTTTTTGACACCACCAATTACGTTTTGATGGCTGAAGGGAGAGGTTGACCAAGGGTAGCACTGGAGACGGTGCTCAAAAGGGTAGACAGGCTATGTAATACGTCAACAGCTTAACTCTCAGTTTTATTAACGGGTCATTCAAAAGCTCCGTCGGCTGGTCTAGCCTTTGGACCGCGTCAATGGCCCCAATCCCCTCTGTCAGTTGACAATCCATATTCTGCCCAATTATGTTTTCTTTCGTTTTCAGGGAAGTTTCGGGGAGCTACAGTAACCTATCATTTATATAATAAAGTTAGAGAAGATGAAACACCGCAAGTAATGAAATTAAAAGATTTGTCAGTTGATTAGAATAAGAAAAATTGAAGGGAATGTTTAGGGTAATCGCAACAGCAAACCCAGTATAAAAAACGTCGGCTCATCAAGGGATTATGTCTTACGAGAACAAAGCGACGGGCATCTCATTTATTTCGGTACAAAGAGCCTGACTCGAGTTCGAAAGGATGAGATACAACCGCAACTTTGGCAAAAGCACGGGATATATCAAAGGCGAGAATTATCTCATCATGTCCAGTTGCAGTGGCTTTGGATATGTGCAAACGCACGAAATGTCGGCGTGCCTCACGGTATGCAGTGGCAGATGACGCCACTGGCTGCGGAGAGCGACTATGACTACGATGACAATTAGTGACTTGGATGGCTGGTTCACCAGGTCATATAAGCACAACTATTACAAATAACTATTTCTGGCACTTTACCTTAAATAATGCAAAGTGATACTGCAAGCTCTTCGCTAAGCAAACAAAATTACTCCAGAAGGAAAATAGGAGAACATAAGCTAAAAATTAAGAATTTACTGGTTTCGAT